TTAGGCCGTCTTCATGAAACTCTTGACACCACTCGCCAAGCCAACGCAACCCGTAGAACCATCGGAAGCCTCGGTCTCATCCTGGCAGTTCGTGTCGGTGTCTAACATCGGGTGAGGGAAGTAACGTCCAAGTGAACTCCAGAAACTCACAGTATCCATATTGTTCATCCGCTCCGTCGGTGTAGAAAGCGACCGAGTTCGCATACCCCGCACTGCCGGCGCCTCCGGAAGGGCTGTACGTGAAGTATGTGCCTTTGAAAATGATCACTCAATATCCATGACTACCTGAATTCGTGGACCTACTGTGACAAACGCCTCTAGACATCCCGATGGTCCCAGAATGGTCATCGCCACTGCAGTTGTCGCTGGCGTAGAGAACGGCTTGAGCCTTTCCCAAGGCTGCAGCGACCATCGTCGCCGCGATGAAGGAAGCGGTGAAGAGAGCTTTGGTGTTGAACATGTTCGACTGACGATGATTGCGGACAACTGTGTCTTTTATACTTCCTGCATGTTCAATACTGATTATTCCACACCGGGGAAGTCCGGGGTCACTGCAGCAGTTATATAGCACATAGGAACCCACCCGAACGCGATCCTATCCCATTTCTTCACCATTTGGCCAACACGAGTTGAGAAGTAGCAGATAGGGCCAAAACAGTAGTCATTACAACTAGATTCGACCCCGTTGCTCACCGATTGAAGGGCTGGTAGATGAATCCTCACAAATTTAACCGCCCTGCTTAGTGTTCTGCTTAGTGTTCGAAGGTTCAATACTCGGGGTTGCGGAAGCAGACTAACAGATTCCGGGATGAAGTGAGATCAGTTCAATAGTAAAGACTAGAACGAGTCAAATGATGGCTCAGCTCATACCAACAATCGTGCCCCAGGAACTGTAGCAAGATTCTGAGCTCATCTTGTCGCGTGGCAGGCCATGAATAACTCTGCGGCAAGAAGATGCCATCGTGCCACTGGTCTCGCAGGCAACCCCACCCGCCGGTCACCAATTAGCTTGAATGAGCCTAAATGAGCGACCAGAGGCAGACTTGCGGTTCAGGGTTCGGTTCGGTTCAAAGTTATTTGGCCCCAAACCGAACCTCGGTTTCAGGTTCGGGCATCTGGCTGAACCTGAACCTGAACTTTGTGTTCAGGTTGGTTCAGTTCGAGTTCGAACCGAGAGGTCGAACCGAACTTTCCCCACACTAGGTGACACCACGCCCGAGTGCTATGGCTGTGGGTGAGTTCGGTCAGGTGAGATGATTGTGAGCAATTGCACTACTTAGGCGCGGTTGGAAATTGTTGCGCAGGGAGTCGAACCCCGTCCAGCGAGCATCATCTAGCCTGGCTCGGAATCGTGCTAGACAGACTTGCGGTGCACCGTACACCACGCCCGAGTGGTATGGGTGTGGGTGGACTGGATTAGGTGAGCCCTTAAAGCGCATCAAATTTACTTTGAAGTCATGTCTGTGTAGAAATGGATGGCACTGTGACATGCGTTGAGCATAAAGCGGAAGCCGACCTTAATTGGAGGCTCGAGAAATCCAACGAACCGGGAAAGCTAGGGCGTTCCCGAACGGCGAACTTGAAGACAGGGTTTTGGCGAACGAGAGGGAGGGCCATCAAGCAGTCTGTAAAGTTTAAACCCACCGCGAATTTGAGGCGCGTCCCAAAAGGTTTTCACCCTAGAGACTGTACGGGAGTCGAACCCAAAGGCTCTTAGTCCTGCGAGTGGAATCAGTGACTTCCATACCACGAAAGTGGCCGTACGTCGTCCGCCACACCAGAGTACTCGTACTAGGGCCTGTGCTGGCTGCGTTGGGTTGTTTTTTTGCGGGGAGAGTCTCAACTTTCAACTTGAAAGCTGGGGATTAAGTAGGAACAGTGTTGCAATTAAGGGTTAAGCCCTTAATATCTTAAGGCCTTAAGTTAAGACTAAGGGTAGGCCTTAACAACAGGCCAGAAACATCTATAGGCCTTATTAAGGGTTAACGGACCAAGGCCGAAGAGCCCGATCACATCATTCACTTGATTTTTTTTCAACCCAACACACATACCATCCACCAATATTAATGGCACCGGCAACGGGCCCATTGGGGAAGTTTGCAAAACTCTTTGGCGGCAAACCGTGCACCTAGGGTTGGAAAGTTGGCTTGTAGGCCCCGGGTATCAGAGGAAGGATTGTACACGGAGCTCCCTGCAGCAGCGCACAGCAACGAGGTGCCCGATGCGGGGCCTAGCTAGGAGAATTCTGGTGATAACTTCGAACCTTCGAGGGTAAGAACCCGCCCTGCCATTTTGGGAGTTAACCCTTAATTTTACCCTTAAAAACACACCCTTAATAGATTTTAAGGCCTTAGCTTCCGGGGCGACCCTTATTAAGACCCTTAAGTACAATAGGGATCCCCACTGTAACCGTAGACTACCGTATACGGTTACGGTTATACGGGTTATGGACCTGTACCGTAAGACCCCTAGTTCGTTTTTTTACGGTTACGGTTTGAGGCTGGCCGTACACCGTAAGGACCCGTAATAGTACGGGCCGTATACGGTGTTTTACGGGCCGTAAATCAGTGTTAAATTAGTCGGGTAAGTTACGCGGTAACCAACAGACTCTATTAAGCGAGGTACGAGCTAAGTACTGATAGAGCGTCTGTTGAGAGAGACTAGGTTGAACCGGCCATCAAGTTGAATCTGATTGATGTTCATTGATCACCGGCACTTCTACTTCGCCAATTCCAGTCCTCATTAGGTCCCCATTGCACTCCTGAAGGTCAGGGCTGCCATCAGGGCAAAGTGTAAGCCATTCTCGGCTGTTCTCAGCAAGTTCTCACTCACCAAGAGGCTGTTCGAATTTTCTTTGGCATTTAAGATCGATTTACGGTCGTAATGACCGTAAACTACCGTAAAGTATACGGTACCGTACCGTAAGACCCTCTGGAGAACTCTTTACAGTTACGGTTACGGGCCGGCCTCTGCCCGTAAGGCCCCGTAATCTTTACGGCCGTAACCGTATCTTAGTACAACACTGAGTAGGAAGACCTATCGCCTTGTATCGCCCAACCTCTGTGTCTTCCGAATTGAGATTTGGATTATCGGCGGGGAAGTCGTCTGAGGCGAGATTCCGTACGCAAGCGGCCTGGTCGTGTTTGAGGTAAGAGGGAAAAAGGACAATGGCCGGGTCGGGCCGCGAGAGTTGCCGGGTTGATGCATGATGCCGCATCAACACCGCCTCGACGCTTCTTTGCTCCACGATTCCTCCACCGTTGTCCATGCTCTTGCCACCGTGCTCGCGCGTCCACTGCCACTTCGATTTGGCCCGCAAAATAGGAGAACACGTGTCAACCATCGCAGCATCTTCCTTTGTTCGCTTCTGCGCTGGCCTGACGAAAACTCCTTGTGTCCTCGCCAACACTCAAGCATCCACCGAAAGTCGATCATAGTAGATTGCAAGTTGATTTCCGAGTCGTAGCGGCCATGCCTTCAAGCACCCCCAGGCCCTCATCTTAGATCCTTCGTTCCATGGCCGGCGCCTCATCGGACGTGTCGGCTCTCCGATCATAGCGCGGCGTCAAAACTCGAGGACAATAGCTCGGACTCGCAGTCTTTGAGTGCACGTTCTCATAGCGCGGCGTCCGCTCCTCCTCGCCTCAGAATACCCCGGAATGGTGGCGCCATGCCGCCATCTTCCGTCGGAAGCATTCACTCTGGCCTTGCACGGCCCACACTCGGGCGTCTTTGGTCAGAAACGGATGAACCTCGCACGCGCTCGAGGGGGAACGGGAATCGGATGTCGCTTGATCGAGGGCGTAGTTTCCTGCGCGCCGAGGAGATAAACCGTAATGCATCATGCGAGGTGGGTGCGCTCCTCTATAGATGCTAACTGACTCGTCCTGTTCGTTCCACACGCCCGCGGCACTCTCAGTCGATGTGTAGGAACCATTGAGTCGGCTCTTCGATCCACGCGGGCCGCCATCGTCGCCAGCTCCGTCATTCAATCCGACCTGTGTCCTCCCTCCCTCAACGCACCTTGTCCTCCCTCGCACTGTGACTCCTCCACCCCGCCGTCTCCGCAATACCACCGTGCCACCCCTTCTCCTCCACCTCGCAATCACCTCACAACCGATCGCGTGCCGCATGGGCCCGCATCCACAACGCAGATCGCCCGCCGCCCGGTACTGGGGCTTTGAAGAACACCATTAATCGACCGTCTGCACACGGGAGATTGGGGGTGAGGCTTGCATCAACGTTGCCCACCATAGTCCTGTGGCTTTCGCGAGCGCTCAGAATACAGTAATGTCACCGCCCGCGCATGCGCGGGTTGGCGGGCCAGCCACGAGCTACGTCGGCGGGCAAGGGGCGGGTAGGCATGTACAGGAATGAGTGGGGCGGCTGAGACGCGGGCGTTTGATATCGGTGGTAGCGCGCTGGGGGAAAGTGAGCAGGGATTTATTATTTGAGGCAGAATACTGAAACTGCGCTTGTTTTGTTCGCATACTGAACTGAAATCACGTTCGGTCTACCCTCTGCCAAGCCCTCCAAAATCAAGCTAAAATACCGACCAGAAAGTACTCGGGCTAGTATGGTGCACCGTGAGTCTTACTTCAGCGGTAAGGCTATATAACTCGCCGAAAAACGGGTTCGACTCCCTGCCTCCCAATAGAGGGTGGAACGCAATTTTGTTTTTGTGCCCTCGCAGGCTTATACTCCGCGCGCAGGATTGCCAGCACTCATCGCACGCCGTTTCTCGGCGCAGACTTTAGGCATCTGAATCTCTTTCAACCGTAAAGTAAACCCATCGGACGTTCTCCTGAATACGCAGTGGGCATCGCTCATTGTGTTGGCGATGATTCGACAAGTCTTTTTTGCCTTACCTTTTTCCTCAGCTGGAGTCAGACGTCTTGGCCTTATTCTAAGACATTCGAAAGGCCGCGAACTCGATGGTATGCACGACTTGTTATTACGCGGGTTACGCATAATTGATCTCAAAAAACTAGTATGAGTGCTCGGGCGTGGCGTATGGTACACCGCGAGCGTTACTTTGGTACTGCTGGAATGACGTTGAAACTCGCCGACCGGGGTTCGATTCCCCGCGTCTGAATGTGCACTAGGGTGGGAACTTCTTTTTCCCTTCAGCCATTCACGTTTGAGATCTAAGGTCAGCTCTTTATCTAAATCCATCGTGGCCCACCTTTCCGGCTTCCTTGGTGCAGACCCCAGATCTCTGGCAACCAACCCCGTGCTTGGATTCTACAATCACACCAATAGGTCTCGTGAGTGTCTTCACGAATTTTTCCTTAATAATTGAACGATGCCTTACTCTCAGTGTCTCTGCGCCGGAACGATTATCATTTGAAACCTAGTCTCTTGTCAGGCACCCTGTTTCCATTGGCACAAGCAAAAAAACGAATATCGAGGACTGATCGCTCGATTTGCTCGAGGTACGCACGGCCTTTCATTCGCTCCACTTGCTGACCACGTTCCAAGTTGATCTCGAATAGAAACTACGAGCCTATCGACATTACTCGGGCGTGGTGTACGGCACACTGCGAGCATTGTTTGGTCGCCTTATGACGTTCGGTTTGCACATTTATTATCTCGCGCGACATTTTGATTCGCGCACATATTTTATCATTTCGCGCGCCGTTTTTTGACTTCCCGCGCCAATCTCGCGCGCAAGTTTCGGTTTCACGCGACTGTTTTCAAGTTTTCGCGCCCGCTTTCGACCAGCTTTTCCTCAAATGCCCCAGGCGTCATCAAGCGAAGGGTGTTGGCTACAAGATATGTCAGAATATGGTGGGGGTGGTACAAGGCAAGATACAGGATGTGTAAAATACTTGACGGCCACAGGGCCCGTCGGCATCTCGGCAACACCGGAGTTGATCCAGACTCTAATTTACCGGGTTCACCATGCAAATTGAATTCTTACACACACAAACATTGCTGCCCAACCATAACTATGATACGAGTCCAGTTAGCTTAGTGCCTTCCCGAAATTACATTAACATACTTCCTTTTTGGGAACCACAACGCCGCACGTGCATCACAACCCTAATTCGGTAATGTGAGTATGCCATCACTGAGGGCTTTGAGCCAGGTCAATTTACAACCTCCCAGTTTCATCCCTCCAAAAGCTTGGGCCGACTCCCTGAGCAGCCATTGACTATAAGCCGTTCCAACGCAATATTTGGCCTTATGTTACGTGTGGGCTCGCGTGAGAAGATCCGGACACGTGCATGATCAGCCGTCACTGGCATATCGGCTTGACAACGGCATCTTGACAGCACGTCGAATACGCGCGCGAAAAACGAAAAGTTGCGCGCGCAGAAGAAACTCATAGTGCCGGGACCTCAATTTAAGGGGGGTTTAAGTTAGTTTCGGTAATTCAAAGTATAATGATTTATTTAATGCGGCCGAAAACCCGATTCGATACTTCGGATTTAAGGCTCGGCGAAATCTAATCACCAATCTAATCTATCATAATGGAAATAATGCTGGACTAAACTTGAAGTATTGCCACACCTTTCCCGGGCCACAAAATGCAATGTGAAAGATAATGAATAAAAGGTCTTGAAACAAGTTCCAAAACTTCAAGTTTAAAAATCTCACACACCCAGGATAGAATTCTTTTAGGCGGGATTAAAAGGCTAGTGAAAACAACTTGCATTAGTGAGTAAATACATTGTAGTTAAAATAACATGAATTGACACTGTAAAATAGCCTTTGCAAAGCAACATAATTTGCTTCAACTTTTTCGTTCCAAGAAACCATTGTGTTTCATTCACATTTGAAAGGGGATTGAAGTTAAAAGGAATTGCATGCAGAAACAAGTCATTTGATTCAACTGGTTCTCAACGGAATAAGGAAACCCTTTGTTTCCACTTTTGTTTTAGGCTGGGTTAAAACAAAGGTGGAAACACTTTGTTTCCTTATTCCGTTGAGAACCGGTCAAATCAAACAGCTTATTTCTGCACTCGATTGTCTTTGACTTCAATCCCCTTTCAAATGTGAATGAAACACAATGGTTTCCGTGAACAAAAAAATTGAAGTAAATTATCTTGCTTCGCGAAGGCTATTTGGTGATGTCAATTCACGTTATTTTAACTATGATGTATTTGAAACTCGGTACAAAACTTAAGGTTTATCAGCAGATGAGTTCGGGGTCATGTTAAACCTCAAGTTTTGTACCGAGTTTTCAAATACTTTTAAATGAGATTTTACAGCCCTTTGCGGAACTTAGGGCGCGGACAGTTTTTTTTTTTTTTCATGCTTTTCAACGAGAATCGTTATTTCGAGCTCAGTTCTTGTCCGTTTGCCTTATAAATATGCTCATTGTGTCCGCAATGAAAATGCGGAGGGCACCACGGTCTTCGTTTTCCCTGATGCGATCATAATTGCCTTATTGGGAAAATGTCGCTCTTTTTGTACAGAACTTGTCGCATCCTCTGTGCTGTGGTCAGATTGACCTATAAATTTGATATGACGTCTTTATGAGTATTACGAAGGGCTGGACGGACCGGTATTTCCTCATATTGTATCTATTTCTTGTATACAAGGTATTCAGATATCCCACATTATGAGAATGCAGAATACCGGTGAACTAAGACACACATTCAAAATCCCGGTCCATCCAGCCCTCAATGATACTCATAAAGACATCATATCAAATTTATAGGTCAATCTGACCACAGCACAGAGGATGCGACAAGTTCTGTACAAAAAGGGCGACATTTTCCCAATAAGGCAATTATGATCGCATCAGGGAAAACGAAGACCGTGGTGCCCTCCGCATTTTCATTGCGGACACAATGAGCATATTTATAAGGCAAACGGACAAGAATTGAGCTCGAAATAACGATTCTCGTTGAAAAGCATGAAAAAAAAAAAAAACTGTCCGCGCCCTAAGTTCCGCAAAGGGCTGTAAACTTGAAGTTTGGAACTTGTTTCAAGACCTTTTATTCATTATCTTTCCTATTGCATTTTGTGGCTCGGGAAAGGTGTGGCAATACTTCAAGTTTAGTCCAGCAGTATTTCCATTATGATAAGTTAGATTACTGATTAGATTTCGCTGAGCCTTAAATCCGAAGTATCAAATCGGGTTTTTGGTCGTATTAAATAAATAATTATACTTTGAATTACCGAAACTAACTTAAACCCCCATTAAATTGAGGTCCCGGCGCTGTGACTTGCGCGAAATAATAAATGTGCAAAGGGAACGTCATATCGCCTTGCACATTGAAACTCGTCGAACGGGGTTCGACTCCCCACATTCACATATGGCCGCCGTCCAGTCTCGTTCCCGACGTTTATAGGGTAGTGTTCGCTCCGCTCAGGGGCAGAAATCTAATCGGGGATGTCAAGATGTTGTCGAAGCAGAATTGATGATGAAGTTTGATTGCGGGACACTGCCCTATAACATGTGCTTTCTCCCATCTCTTTTTCAAGTTGAAGGGAGAGGATATACAAGAAGCGGCCCACTTTCCCGATCGGGAAGAGCGACACATCCCATGATAGGCGGCTCAGAGCCGGCTTTGATATGCGAGAGTGCCGCCCTTTGGTGAAAGGCGGCACTTACTATTTTGGCCGACGGTCTGATTTTCCCGAACCCCCAGTGATGGAAGGCTGTGCACTTTTTCAGTTTCTTCCTCCCACTGAGTAGCGGCAGCGCCTGGGGATTTTGATCGCATCACCGTGAGACTCCCAATCGGGGATACGCGCCATTTCGCCAAAATCAATGGACGGCTTTACTGCAGCGTGATACAGCACCTTTGGGCTATGGGTTTATAGGTGAAAAGTCATCGAAGGATCATTCTACATGTATTCTTCGGAACAACCATTTTGTTTTGGTGAAATGGCGGGAGATCATTTCCGATTCATGCAAAATCAAATCGATTTTTGGTGATATTTTTCGTAGAATACATGTAGAACTGGGGAAAATATGGTTTTGACTCGAATCCGAGGTCATAACGGGACCGTGGCAGCGTGTGGTAAAGCCGTCTGGATCACTCTGATGAAGGTGCTGCAATCACAACCAAACAAACGCGACACGCTTACTTCTCACGCGACAAGTTATTCGCGCACAGGCTCGAGAGGAGGACGCCTCTGGGTATAACAGGGAGATGAAGAAGAAGCAGATACTCCATATGAAAGCTGTTGCTGACCACAAGCAGGCACAGGATGTTGTGCGTACGAAGCGCGTTGCAGCGGCACAGGATGCAATTGCCAAAACAACGGCAATTGATTCGGTCGAGAAATTGGAGGCCCTGGCGCAGATTTTGCCCAGGAACGAGGGTTACCTCACTGTTGCAGCCCTCGACCTTCAACTCGACTGGCACATCGCGAACAGCGTCAAGGATTCCCCGACATCCGAGCAGACTTCAGCGTCCGGCATCCCGAAGGCTAAATCGGGCCCCAACGGCCGCGGAAACCGAGAAAGTCGGATTGGATACTTGAAGACGGTGATCCTGCAGCGTTCTCAGGTTTTACTGCAACTTGACGGAGACCCAATGCCCGTAGATTTACCGCCAGCGCTCGAGCCGATACCCCCAGAACCCTCAAGAGTGCCCGAAGAAGTTGAATATTTCAGTGATGAGGAGTGGTATGCAGACCAGTAGTATTTTGGATGTAACTAGATAGTCTCCAAGCTGTTGAGGACACAGAATACAATGTCGAAGTTGTGTCGAAGGAGATTTGCCGCCAGAATGACGTGTGATCGGTGACTAAGCGCATGATTTCCGAACCAGGCTTGCCGCTACTCACTCCCACCACGTCCTCCCGCCTTGGTCCGCTCACTCCGCTCGCTCGATGTTTGGCGCAACGACAACGAGGCACTCAGACGCCGATGCCAAGCTGATAGACAGCCTGTTGTAGCGTGTGGGGAGACATTTCCGTGAGAGCTTCATGTCCTGATATAACTGCTGCCACTGACTTCGCGGACCACCAGATTTATACACCAGCCTTCATTCACACCAATCCTCAATTATTTCTCGACAATTCCTGGATCAATGTCACAGCATTGCGGTCATTCCTCGAGAAACACGACAAGGCCCCATTTCCGCGCGTCTCTGCGGACTAGGCACGTCTGACGCGTCCTCAATGAGT